AAAATATTTTAAAGACTTGGGATCCCTTTGTACTAAATAGTTTGCTAAAAAAAATACATATTAAGAATTCATTTAGGTTAATCTCGTAATGGATAATCCATTTGGGTTAGTTCTTGATTAACCATGGTTAGTGTGATGATTAAGCCCTAATTTAGGACGCCCTTTACACATATGGTCCTAAAACATGGCATTTAAATATCAATTTGTAGGCTATGTAGAATGGTTATTCAAATAAATGGGAAAAAAAAAATCCTTGAAAGGTTGTTGCATATTGCAAAAGAAGTGTTGCATATGGTTGAAAATATTTGCATACGGTCCAAAAACATGATACTAAGTATAAACTTTTAGGATATCCAAATTTGTTATTTGAATAAATGAAAAAAAAATTGCATATCCTCAAATGGTGGTTGCATGTCACGAAAGAAATGTCACATGTGACTGAAAATACCTACATACAATTGTAAAATATGATAATAAGTGTAAATTTTAAGAATATTTAAAATGGTTATTTGAATAAATGAAAGAAACATTTTCTTTAAGGGTGGTTACATATCGTTAAAAAGGGTCGCATAATGTTGAAAATACCTACATATTATCATAAAACATGACACTAAATGTAAATTTTTAGGATATCCAATTTGATTTTTCAAATAAATTGAAGATAAATTATATTTCCTTAAAGGGTAGTTATATATCGTGAAAGAAGGTTATATTGGTTGAAGATACCTGTACATAGTTCTAAAACATGACACTAAATATAAAGTTTTATGATATCAAAAATAGTTATTTGAATAAATGGAAGATAGATTGTATTTTTAGAATATCTAAAATGCATATTCAAATATGACTTATAACTTAGGATTAGAATATTGCACCAACAATATGATTTTAGGATGTCATAGATACATATTCTAAAAAATTTTAAATGTATATGAATATTTTGAAAATTTGCTCTTTTTTCATAAAATTAAAATGCCAAAGGATATTCTAAAATCACAAATTGATATTTTAAAAATTTTCCCACTTTATGAAAAATGCATATGGATATATTGAAGATTAACTCATTTTTTATGAAAACATCAAAGGATATTTTGAAAAAGCAAATTAATATTTTAAAAATTTGCTCATTTTTAATGAAAACGCTCAAAGATATTTTAAAAATACAAATGAATATTTTAAAATTTGTTTATTTTTCATGAAAACACCAAAAGATATTCTTACTAATCACTATTGTTATATTTAAAGCTTAATTATATCAACTTAAAGAATAAAGAACAATAACTTAATACAACAAATTCATTTATCATTAAACAATAATGTATCTTAACATCGTTTGACAACATGAACTACATTACATTACAATAAGGTAATACAAGAATCTAGATATTGTTTGTCAAATATCTTTAGGTGAAAGTGTAACATTTTCATAGTAAAAGTAAGAAAGTTTAATGTCATTTTCTTCCCTATTTTCTTGAATTACTTTTGAAGCTAATTTTTTAGAAAAACTCATTCCAACAAAGTCAATGAACATATTAGAATTTGATGAGCTTACTTCTCCAGTCCTGTTACAAGTAAGAAGGCCTATGTCATTTTCTTCACCATCCTTTCCTCTTGATTCTATCAAATATGCAATCAGGGGTGGAGAGAGGAGAAACTGGCAAAGGCCACGGCTCCTTCTAACTTTTTAATTTTTTTAGTAAAATGTAGGGTTTATATATTCTCAACTCCCCTAAGTTGGCACATGATAAACATTATGAAACATTAGATGAAATTTTCATTTTTATTTTATATGTAGCCTTTTACATATGTATGGAGCAACAATTTTAGTAGCTTGAAGATATTGTTGTCATAGGATCTACTCATTTTCAACAAGATAATATTATACATATTCTTAAAGTATTGATGTCATTTTATTTTGCTTTCATTTTATATTTAATGAAAGAAATTGTGAGAATTATTATTAATAAAAATAACAAAACATATTGAATGCTATGTGTTTGATATCTATTATAAAATCACTTATTCAAAAGTTAAGAGATTTGATGAAAATGTTCCCCTAAAAAAATTACTTTTTTAAAAAAATAATCAAGTTATTGAAATTTATGATATGAATGATTTTTACTCTAAATATAATTTAATCTCATTAACATAAAGATTTTATGACAATTAATCATTATTAATATGTTAATATATTTGTTTACTACAATTATCAATTAAAAAATTAAATAATAAATTCAATAAACAAGTAATAAAGCTTATTAAATTGAACAAAATTTTAGCTTCTAATTATGTATTTAAATCATTTAAAGCTCATACGGATGATACATGTTTCACCAATTTAATAATAATTCATATTGAGAAGAAGATTGTTAAAATATTTATTATAGACATAATAATTAATGATTTTTATACCATAAAAAATCGATAAGCAAAACTTAATATATATATATATATATTGTTATACATGTGTAAAATTAAATATAAATATATATGTTAAAATATTTATATTATGTAGGTCACACACACACATTTAATTTTTCTTTAATTATTACATATACATTTTCATTTCAGCTCCGTTTAATAAAAAAATTCTGACTCCGCCCCTATATACAATGCTTCCATCTTCTCCAAGCCCTGACACATGGAGACTACCGTGAACATGCAGACAAATAAGAGTAACTAGTGAATATAACCCTTTCCTTTTTTTGAGATAAGATATATGCAGCAACAACACGCAACCTTAACATAAAGCCAAAGCAATCTAAACGTAAGGCTAACCTGAGCAACAAGTTGCACAAGTTCTCACCTGATTGGATTACTAGAGTATCTATTAACCCTTCCTTTCCCAATATTTTCTAGAGTTATGAACTTGTGACTTGCTCGTTTTAGGAGGAGAAAAACATGAATATTTCATTCATAGCCAGACACGCTTCTTTATGGTTTTGTAGTTTGAAGGGCAAGAAGCACGCTTTTAATTCTTGTGGGCAGAGATTTTGACATCAATTCTATGTTACCAAGATTTGCAACTGCGTTGTAAAGTCAGTAGAAGCATATACGCACAGTAACAAAAAGTTCAAGTTCATCAGCGGTTCCCATGAAGTAACAGCTATGCAAAATATGGCAATCACTATTGGCCAGGCCAAGTAAATAAGTAAACCATCAAAGAGTGCCTAGATTATACAAAGTCCTAAACAAATATTTTCTTGTTCATTTAGAAAGAATTGCATCAAACTTTGCATGGGCCATTCTGTCCTGTAACGCTTACGGGCCATTCATTATAATTCAGAAAGCAGACAAACTATGTAACCAAAAGACAGAAAATTAGATAGTGCACCTAAAACAAAAACTCATTGTAATCTTTGCCAACAGAAGCAACGTGGATGATTCCAAAATAGGCAGAACCAAAGTTAGATGGATGGCCAAACACTTGTGTGTTTATAATAGCAATGGGGGAAATGTTTGCCACATCTCAAAGATTAGATTCCTCTAGTCATCAACAAGTATGGTAAAGGAAATGTAACTTATAGAACAGTCTCATATTACTCGACGAACAGCAACTGAAGTAGCATGATCTGCAACATTCAGCGACTGAAGCGGTTTGATCTAAACGGGCTCGACAAGATCTAAATGTTTGGCGACTGAGAGACACAATCTGGAACAAACCGGCTTCAAATGAAGATCCCGTGGCGAAGTAGATTGAACGACTTGATCTGCATAAACAATACTGAAAACACAACAGTGGTGGTGGTGTGATTCACACACCAAAACAACACTCACGAACACATACTCTCCTCAACGGTTGCCGGGGAGACGTTGTCAAGGCAAACACTTACCAAGGGGTTAGAGAATCTCTCACGGAAGGAGACAATTCTTGAGGGAGAGTGAGATTTTGTTAGACAATATGGTCATTTAGTCCAGTGAATTAATATTAGTGAATGATCTTAATATTGAATATCTCATTCTTAGTAAAATGAAATTTGGTTAGATCTTTTTTGATAATTCTTTTCTTTTTATAATAGAGTGCTAATTTAATTTATTATATTTTTCTCTATCATCATCGAATTAATTTATATTTAAAATAATATAATATATTTTTTTAATAAAATATGGACGATAGAGTATACGGGAAGAATTTCTCCTATTAGTTTATGTCGGTTAAAGAGAGAACAAAATCTTCCAGTAAGAAGCATGAAGGGAGAAAGAGTATGGATGTTTTTTTTATCCAAGTAATATGGATTTGACGTTGTTCAAGTCTTTAAGGTATGGAAGGGGAAGGGAGAATATACGGAGCTATGAACCCCCACTAGTTGTCTCCCATTCTTATTTCCTAGTTGCTCCTTTCCCATCATGCCACTGTTATAACATATTTCAAACCAAATACAGCAAAGGGATAAAAATAAAATATTTATTTAATTTTTTATAAATTATTTTTATTAATCTCATCAATATTAATATTAAAAAATATATAAAAAAATTAAAATATATAAAATTTTAAATATATTTTTATATGATAAATTTAAAAAATAATATCATATTATTTATTTTTTTATAAAAAATAATTTTAAAAATATATTTTAAATATAATATAAAAAGATGCACTTATAAATAAAATTAAATAAATTTTTAAAATATAATTTATAAATGAGACAGGGGAAAATATGTGTAAATATATATATAAAAAAATAAGTAAGATTATTTTTAAAAAAGAAAAGAGAAAAGCGACGCGCTTGTTGACTTGAGAAACTGAGCCACAGCCCATTACCGACTTGGTGTCAGTGGTTTGCAGGGATGGCTTCAAACTCGAAATACAAAGTGACGTTCGCAGCATGTAATTCCAGATCTTGCCGAATCTCCAGCTGGTTTCCCCGTTCAACAATTCATCACTTCACTTGTTCGACCTAATTAGCACTCAGAAGCTAGTCACTTTGAGGTTTACTCGTTCGAGTTTCTTTGGAGTCCGTGAATTTCAGTGTCTCGCACGCCCTTGTTTTCCCTGAAATTCAATTCTTTCGGCGAGGTAGGCCATGCTGGCAAAAGTCGTGAGGGTCGAGGGGGCCTTCTTCTTCGGTGGCGTGGAACTGATGTTTCCAGTCTCCAAGTGCTTTTCTGGTGAGAGGTGGTGATCTTGACTTTGCGAGAGTCGGACTCGTGGGAATGTGGGCCCGATAAGGAGTGGGAGTGGGAGTGGGAGTGGGGCGGAAGCCCAATGGGCTCTGGAGCGGGCTTGAATGGAAGGAGTTGATGATCATTTCGCCGTGGTGGGAAGAGTCGCGATATGAGCTCATAGCGTAGTGAACAGAGTGACGAGGAGATCGACCCGGCGACGACTGGCTCAGGCTGCTCACCTCAGAGTCGGGCTTCGCAAGAATTGACGTGGTAGAAGAAAAGAGAAAGGTATGAAAACCTAGAATTGATGTGGCCATGCGTGCAGATGAGATATAGAATAACGCTGCTACAGGGATCCTGATTTCTGAGTGTTTGTTTAGTGTTTACGAAGCATTGGTTTTTGAGGATCGAAGAAGCTAGAGGTAAGGAAAGAGAGAAGGAAGTGAAGCCAATTCATCAGGGACGGGAGCGAAGGTGAAGTGAAGGTGAAGGGGAGGATTTGCTGAAGAGGGAGGAATTTTTTATTTTTAATTCTGACTAGTATATGCCACGTAAATCATATGTTGGCCCTACATCTTTCAGACGTTATCCCTCTCTTGACGGCTGGGGTAATTGCATCGGTTTTTTATATTTACAAAAAAAATTGCACCCAGATAAAATATAGGATACTCTGCGTTCTTGAAGATATAGTTTGTGGTCAAAAATCGCCTTTTAAGCCGAAGCATATAATACTTGACTATATTAGTGTCATGATAAAGAGTTAAATGGGCTCATGAATCTTAAATTATTACTAACCTAGTATATTGAGTCCTGAACTGTTAAAATAAATAAAAACTTTTATAAATTTAAAACAAATTAACTCTCACTATTTATCCGTACAATAATAATTATTAACTTTTTATTAGTCTCCACAAAATAAAAAATAACGGCGTTTATATGTAACTTGATCGGAGAGAAAACTTACTTAAAATTTATAAATTGATAAAAAATTTTATTCATTTTAAAATTTTAAAGTTTAAGATGCTATTTAAATAATAATTTAAAATCTAAATGCTCACTAATCCTTATGATAAAACTATGCACTCTTCATTTCTTTTAATAAAATTACTTTTAGTTCCATGACTTCTATATCTAAACAATAGATGTCACAAGACTATTAAAAAAACCATGCATTTTTCACGGTTTTATAAATAGTGGCTTTTTCCATAGTTTTCAAGAAGAGTAATTTTTTAAAAAAATTATTATGTTCCCACGGTTTTAGCTAGAACCATGGTAAAATCTTTTGATATTTTCTCACGGTTCATCCAAATACTACTCTTTAATTTGTACTTGTTTTTGTATTGAACCCTCTCATTTTTCCATTGACACTGTGCGGACCAGATTCTCACTACTTGTTGGAGCACCCTTGGCCTCTATTTTCATCTTCTAAAGCAAAGCTCCACCTCTTCATCTCCAAAACTTCTTCATCTATGTTTCGTCTTTTTTATCATTTGGTATATTTCTTCTTTATTTTATCTTTTATGCTTCTTTATCCACCTTTCTTCATCTTCATCCTTTGGTATATTTCTTTTATACTTTTATCTTTCTGATATATTTCTTTAATATTTTTGTCTTTTTTGTTCTTTCATCTTTTTTTCTTTTTTGAGTTGAAGGTGCATTGTGCAAAGTTAAAAAAAAATTGCCTCTTTCTTTAAGGATTTTTTCCCTTTTTTTATGGTGCACACGTTTTTTATATGGTGGACTAAATATGCAATTTTTCCTCTTTCTTCAGTAACTTGTAAGTCTATGAAGATGCAAGCCTTGGTGGGGCGTTTGAAATCCTTGTTCTATCATCTTCTTTAATGTAACATGCGATTTTCAGTTTGTCCAATATATGTATATATAACCAAGTAAATTATGGATCAAATTTTAATAAATTTACACGTTTTTAATATTAATCAATGCTTCTTAAATTAATTAAATTTCTCATCAGATTAAATTATTTTGTTTGGAGTGAATTAATTAAACCACTAGCTATAGAATCATAAAACCAGCACATAATCAGTGATGTGGGATTGGATTTTAATTTTCCAGACTAATTAAAATATTAATTAAATTGTGGATTTTTTTATTACATTTAAATAATTTTATTATAATATATAATAATATCAATATATATTTTTTAATTTTACACCACCATTTTCCGCAGTTTATTTAAAACTGTGAGAAAAGCCAGGATTCGGAGATAGCCAGGTTCTGACACAATTGTGGCTCTTTCCACGATTCCGTCAAAACCATGGGTATTCCCATGGTTCATTGAAAAATTGTGGGAAACGATTTTCCATGATAAATATTGTCACAGTTTTCAAGAATCATGAAAAATTATCATTTCTATATTTAAACTAATGGCTAACGAAGGAAAAAAATTGTGGCAATTACCATGTTTTTCCGTAGCGACATGGTTGCCTACAAAACCCTCCGAACGTTGCCCAGCAACGCATGTAAATTCCTCCTAAAAATCCGTTTACGATTTGAAAATTGCTTCCATATAAAATGTCTAAAATAGCCCCAAAAAAAGGGATGCCGTGAGCAAAATGCTTAAAATTGGACTATCTAGGTTGACATCACCCGATGAATGGGCCGAGTCCATTTTCCATGTGGGCCCACCAACAAAGTTTACTGTGGAGGATGTGTTCTAACCAGACAAAATGCCAAGGAAACTGCATATCACAAAATTTGTGTTCGTTTTTATCCAAAAAAAAAGGGCATTTTGTTCTCTCAATTCAATAGATAGTGAAGTATTTTGGAAGTGAAGAGAAAAGAAGACAACAAAGCGAGAGTTTATATGGTGTTCACTTTCTTCTTCTTTTTTTTTTTTTTCAAATAAAACAAGTTATTTTTTAATTTTATAAAAAAATTATTTCATTTGTTTTTCAAAAGAAAATTTAATGGGGGATTTCGTATAAGGAACAACTTCAGACAAAGAGGATAAAGTTTTTTAATTGGAAATGGCAAGTCACATGGCTTGAAAGATAAGAGACCTAGGAAACGTGATTCATTTGAGAAGGAATGTTGGATTATCCTACTTGGGTAGCCCATATCTATATTGAGCGCAACATCAAAGAGAAGGTATACATAGTTTGGGCCATGGATCTGCTTCAATTGCATCCTGATTAAGGGATGAGATTGTCCATCTGCTTTGTTTCCAATATTGCCATAGCCTTCTTTAAGAATATGTACAAGGAAAGGTTGTTCGGAGGATATCCTGAAATGAGTTGAAGGACTGCGATCCATGACTCGCCATAAATATATTCACAAAATGCCTCTCGGCATGAAGATGATGGAGGTCTGTTTCCTTGCTTAAACCCATTTGATTCATTGTGAGATGTGTCATTTCATTTCTTTCCACATATTTTATTTTCTTTACTTTGTAAGGGCAAGCTGCCATGGTGCATGCCTTTTCTTTGAAATGAGATGACTAGTAATATAAATCAGGAAAAACCAAGTGAAAATCCCTCCATTTTTAATGGATTCAAGTCGCCATCAACCGATATATACCACGTGGAAATGTATCCAATTAGTTATTACTATTCATATCATCATCATCATCATCATTGTGCTCGTGATATATATATGGACATGTGTGTGTTGTCATTTTTAAAGACGTATATAAATACACTTCAACTTAAAGTTGAACTAGTTAGTTCTGTATAAAAGCGACAAGTAGAGAATACTTCTTATAATTTTGAAGAATACATGGTTCCTTGATGGGATTACAAGGTAAGGAGCAGTGGGACCAAAGAAAAAGGAGGAGGAGAAAACATTATAAAAAGCTATCTAAACACGGGGCAAATCTCGACGGTGTAATACCGGTGGAATGAGATATTCAGAAGCTAAAGAGTAGCAAGGAGGATAGGAATTAGAAGTGACGGAGAGACGAGGAGGATAGAGATAGAGAGAAAATGCATGTTTTGTAGTGTTTAGTAATTGGAGGTAGCAGAGAGAAGCACATGGAAAGGTGGTGGTCCCTGAGAGTGTCGACCTGAGAGGGGGTAGAGAATGATGGGAAGGCAGCTCCAGAGAGGCATGTGTGGAGACGAAGGATCAGCCCCCTCCCGAGGGGGACATGTCAAGCCAACTTGTGATCATGCCAAAACTTTCTAAGCCCCCTCGCTCCTTCCCAGAATGCCACAATATTCCTAGCTAGCCTTGTGCCATTGTGGGGGTTGTTGCTTCCAGGGTCGACACACAGCACCCACATTCCTCATTTATGTGTGTGTCTGTCTTTCATGGGATGAGATATAGGGTTTCTTTCCTTCTGAGACAGCCATGATGGGGCAAGGAGGCTCTGCATGCCGATCATGATTTGCTGGTGTCTGTATATGCTGCAAGTGGAGCGATGTTTTTTGGTTTTTCTCTTGAGAAATATAGAGATTATTGAGAAAATCAGAGAGAGAGAGAGAGAGAGAGAGGGAGGGAGGGAGAGAAGAGGGAAGTGAATAGTGTTGATAAGGAGACAAGGAAAGTGGTTGGAGATAGCGAGTGGATTGGGTTGGTTGCTGAAAAGAGGAGCCATGTGAGAAGCATGATGGTGCAAAATGATGTTGTCTGTAATTACACCAACCATGTATGTTTCTCAATGTTTTCTTTTTATTTCTGCTAACATACTGCCACAATCACAGACTAAGCTATCGATCAATTTGTAGCTAGCTAAGATAGCTAGATAGGCAGCACACGGCCCCTACCACTTGAGCAATTAAGGGATATGGCCCTCCAATCCAATGGAACCTCTTGGTTTTATTCTCAGTCTTAACTATGATTGCGCGCAAATAATTGAGCTGCTTCCAAACTGGCCTTAGCTAGCTAGAAAGAAACGTTACCTATATACGCCAATCAATCACATTCATGCTTCTGTAATTTCCATCTTCTTTTAATAACTGTATATTGTGACCACAAGCGGAGATTCACGATCATATGCGCGCCTGTCTTGCAAACTTGATAATGATTACTTGATCAGTATACACACTACTCGTGCTTTCCTGTTTGTTGAGATTAAATGCGGTCATTAATTGCCCTTCGCTATCACTCTCTGCTTGTTTATACATCACTTTGGACAGCGATGCTCATTATTGGCACAACGCCTAAATTTTAAAGCTTATCGTGATTATAAATTTTTTTCCAAGTAATGGGAATATATATATATATATATATATGTATGTATGTATAATGCACTTCATTCAAGTTTTGGATTTTTATACCACAGGGTTGTTTCCCATATTGTCATTCTCATTATTATATCTGAGATGCTATGAGAGGACACAATAATGTATGAGTACCTACACACACCGCAGTAGTGCACACTGATGTTTAAAAATATTTAGAGCTTTCTGGTGTCTGGAATGCTTTAAAAAATAAATACGGACAATATAGTCTTCAGTTTGGGCCATTTTACTTTAATAATTCCTATAAAATATTCACTATTGCATGAATTTTCAATTACTATTATTATATACAAAAATTAAAAACAATAAAATTAAATTGAGGATATATGTACATAGATTGAGAATTCATGCCTCATGGTCTGACCCGACATTATATTGCTTCGGTATTGTGGAGTTCAAAAGTTCATGGAGGAGTACCTGCAAATGACTCCTTCGACTTTGGGTACTAACGTACTAACTACTAACAGCTAAAATTACAGCTATAATATTTCGTTTGGATGAAGAGAAATAAGGTAAAAAGGAAATAGCGAGAAAGGAAAATTAAAAAAAATTGTTAAAAATACTAAAGTTTTGTTTACTATTTTTGACAATTTTCTCTTACAGATTTCTTTCTTTTCTAATTTTCTTCTCATCCAAACCAAAAATTAAAGTGAAAGTGAGCAAACAAACTAGGGAGCTAGCAATATGGCATAATGTTTGTGCCCGAAAGTGTGTGTGTGTGTGTGTGTGTGTGTGTGTGTGTGTGTGTGTGTGTGACAGCTTATGTTAATTGATATACACATACCAAATCTGTGGCCAAAGATTAACATAGTACTTTAAAAATATAAAGCAACAACCTAATTATATACATAGTACATGAAGCTAAAACTAGGGAGCTAGGAATATGGCATAATGTTTGTGAGGTCTAGGGATGTAAGAGCCTTAGAGGTACTGGTGGTCCATAATATTCATATTATAATGCATATAGTTGTTGGCTAAGTACTGCTCACGTGCAGGCACATGAGTTGTCCCTGTAATAGGCCTACCTTAACTGCACCTATGGAGAATTAGTGCAAATCATACGTGATCGCACCAATCATATTAAATTCTTCTAAGAGCTTTACCAAGTCGATCTAGCTAGGCTTCCTCAAGAATCTCATCGGTGTCTAACAGTTTTGTTTTTTTTTTTTTACAAAAAAAACCTTTGTACGATATTAAAATTTCAGTTATTAATCCTATCGAGTATAGTACGTGCATGGGTGATGCATGGTTTCAATCATGGGGTTCTGCATCTTATTTTTTACTACATCTGAAATTGACATATATGTGCCAGCGGCAACCACCGATTATGAATTGGAACATGATCAATTCAAACCAAAATCAATAATCGGGCCATCCCACATTTCAGTCAGAACTGTACTTCGATTTGCAATATCACAGACCTATTGAACACCAAGCTTCTTTTTTTTTTTGGGGGGGGGATCAAGGAATCTATAAGACAATAACCTTGAATGACATAAAACAAAGGGTCTCATTATGTGCAACCCATAGTGTGTTCTGATTACTTTCTTTAAGGTTTTGGCCCCTCTTTTTTTGTTTCAAAAATCTTGGGGATTCCTCCTTTCAGCCCCGTTTTTGGCGGGTTTTGGTTGAAATAATTTATCGGAAAAAGAACATTCAAACAAGCAATTAAATTTGTTGGTCAAAAAAAAAAACAAAGAAAGAAAGAAAGAAGACCAGTAAAACTTCTCTTGCAATGTGCCCCAATGCATGATATGATCCTACTGTATTTTATATAAAATAAGAAACTGGCGGTCGTCCTGATGAATTAGTCTTTACTTTTTTTGGATGATAATTAATATTAATTCATTTATTACCCAAGTCACAAGAATGTTTATGATATGTAGCAGTAGACCTAATGCCAAAGTCAAATAAATTAAGTCGACGTCAAGCCTCACATCAGAATCGTCGAATGAATTCCCAAGTTTTGGTTCTGTTCAACCTAAAGAAAATGGCTGACTTTGCGATCGACAATGACTTATATATGCGTTTGGGGAGTTTGAATCTAAATATCTACACAATGTCAACCAGTTAAACAACATTAAACATACAGTCATCCCATAGACAAGTCAACAGAGACCGCAACTGCTATGCGCGCGCGTGACGAGCCTGTGTATTTATTTATCTATATGAAATGCATCACGAGGCACGCGAATTCAGAAACAATATCCTTCGGCACTGGAGAGAGCGGCTTATAAGACTTGTCATGTGCGCTGTGTAAGACGGAAAACATTAATGCTTTTCACAGTGCCCACTTTCATTTCTCTATATTCTGTATGTCTTGTCCCACATGTGTCACTGCCATTAGTTTAGCTCAAGTTGAAATTTTCTCACCCAAACTTAATCAGCCCATCAAAGCCACGCATGACTTCTTTGTGAAGAGTTGACTACTACTAATGTTTAATTAGAACTAGGATTTATATAATGAAAAAAGTGACCGTCTGATAATGGTTGGGGAAGACAAATGGATAACAAAGAGTGGGGTACTGTACATTCTAAATTCTAACGCTCAAATTTATAAGTTTTTTCACTTTTTTATATATTAGTTATTAAGTTTAATTTTATCTAATGTATGATCTCTTATATCAACTCAAATCCATTCATATCTGAACAACTCCAATAGTATATATTATTGATATCATATATTGATATAAATAAGCAGAATATGTATTGGTAAGTTAGTTATGATAGAACAAATAGACAAAAAGGAGTGAATGATACTACGTCTTAATTAAAAATCTCAAAACTTAAATTAATTATGAATCCTTTTGCTTAATTATATATTAGTTATTATCAAGTCTAATTTTATTTGATATCCCATATCAATTCAAGTCCATTCACATGCTTGGGCAGTAGATTTTGTTAATGTCATGGGTAAGTATGGGATATGTATATGAGAAGATATTTGAGGGGGAGGGAGAGTAGAGGAGATGGTCCCGCGCTTGTATTGAAGAAGGTGTGTGAGGGGAGGAGGGAATGAAAGGGAAATGAGTTAGGGAAAGTGATGGGCGATGATGGGGGTGAAAACAAGAGACGCGAACAGGAAATGAATGAATGAAAGAAACTTGGGGTTGAGGAAAGTGTAAAACATAAATGAGAGGAGAGAATGAGAGAATTCATCAAGAGTATGATAGGATGGTGTAGAAAATTAAAGTGGGGAGGAGCGGTGTGAGTGTGAAGAAAACAGGCTCATGTTGGAGAAATATGAGACAAGAGGGTCTTTCGTTTTTTTGGCTTCCACTGCTGATCTGAGCTTTTCTCATTATAGCCTCTGTTTCCCTGTTATTGCCTCTGTCATTCATCCCTATTATGGCCTCCGCCCACATATAACTCCACGTACTCTCCTTTATCAACCTCTCTCTCTTCAATACCAAACACGGACACCTACTCCCTCCTGCCCCTTCCTTTTGCCTCTCTCTGTATACGTGAAAAGTGCTCTCTGGTTTTCCTCAGAAGATTACTGTAACAGTGGGATCGATAAGCTCTCACATTTCATGGCATCTCCTTCTGCGCCACTGTCACACTACCATGCATGTTTCCCTACTTCTTTATTTCTCCCTCCTCTGTGGCCCCCATTCCTCTTGCCCACGTGTCTTCCTCCTTCATTCCCACCACCCTGGACCACTAGCTCTCTCTTTTCTTCAAAAATATCCCTCTTTTACTTAAACCCTCCATCGTCTTCACCATATTATTAAAATTTAAACCACAACGGCAATGGTATGGACAGAGTTTAAGAAAGTCTGCTATATTCTATGGAAACCAAACAAATAAATTTATTGATTAGTAGTATGTGGCGAATCACACAATCCAAATCAGTCTGCTTCATTTCTCCCTTCTAAAAAAAAAATTAATTCACTATTGTTCTAAAAAAATTACAAATCAATTATAAAAAAAATCAAAATCAGATGTGGACGTCGGCTTTTGGGTCGGTCAATCAGGACGAGGCCGTGACCGTGATGCTCATCAGTGGCTCCTGCTGGCCGTCCATATCGTTATCATCAACACCTGATCCCTTCTCTGAATTATCGACGGACGTCAGGAGCTGGGCGCGGCAGGCTTGGAATTCCCAATCGGTGGTCCCAATCTCATACAACATGAGCCCCGCGCAGCAAACCTGGGCACACAGCAGGCCCAACCAAAGCCCGCGAAACCCAAGATCGAGCCAGAACCCGAGCCCAACTGCCACGGGCATCCCCACCAGATAGAATGCGCTCAGGTTCACGTTAGCGGCCATGGTGGGTCGCGCTGTCCCTCTCACGACGCCGCACCCCACCGTTTGCGGACAGTTACCTAGCTCGCACAGCCCTAGGATGGGCAATGCCGCCGAGGTCAACCGTAGGATCTGGTCGTCGTCAGTGAACATGCGGCCCCACCTGTACCTTATAGCGGAAGCGAATATCGTGGCGGAGAAGCCCATCACGGACGCGATGAACACAGATACGACGGCCGATAATTTCGCCCGGCAGGGCCTGGCTGCCCCTAGCTCGTTTCCGACCCGAGTGGACACCGCGAACCCGAGCGATGATGGGAACACGTAGATCAACGACGTCGTTTGGATCAATATGCCCATGGAAGCCACGGTCGCCCTGGGGTCCACCAGTAGCCCGCACAAAATGATCATGATCTCGTACCACCACCATTCCAAGCAAACCGATGCACAGCTCGGCGCGGCCAGCCGAAGCAGCGGCTCCCAGCCACTCAAACACTCTCTGCTCGGTTTCGTCCACGTGGGCTCGTGTATCCTCGTCATCCAAACATAAGCAACGAGGAATAGCAAAATGGAGAAGTTGGAGGCGGCGGAGGCTGCGGCCACTCCTGCCACGCCGAGGCGGAGGTGGATGACGAGTAGGAAGTTGAAGGGCAGATGGAGGACGGTGCCGGCGAGGGAGGCTAACGTGAGAGGGTGGGTGATTCCCTGGGCTCGGAGGTAAATGCGGAGGGGATGAATGAAGGAGTTGGCGACGAGGTCGGGGAGAACGAAGAGGAGGTACGTGCGAGCCATGCGGCTGATATGAGGGTCCTGGTGTAAGAGTAGGAGGATTCTGGAGATGTTGAGCCAGAGGAGGGAAATGGGTACGGAGCAGAGCAAGAGGAAAATCACGCAGCGATGGAGGGTCAAAGACAGAAGCTTGGGACGTTTGGCGCCGAAGGCCTGGGAGCAGAGCGGCTCCATGCCTAGAGCAAGGCCCGACAGGACGGAGTAGCCGGTGATGTTGGCGAAGGCGATGGCCAGCGACCCCGCAGCCAGAGGGAGATCACCCAGGTGACCCAGGAAGAGCATGGAGACGATGGAGCGAGAGTAAAAAACGAGAGCGGTGAGAGCAATGGGGAAAGCCAGAATGAAGAGGGATTTGACTTCCGACACAATCTCTCGCAGGGTCGAATACGTTAACCATTGTGCTGTCTGCTTTTCTGGGTTAATGAATGTATAGGGAGGCAGCAAGAGATCGACCACCAGATGGGTGGGCGACTTGAGAGATGTCTTTTGACTTTCATCCATGGACCTGGAAGCAATTGATTCACACATGTCCTCGGAAGAAGAAGAAGAAGAAGAGTTTAAAATAAGGGGCAGAGGCGGGTACGTAAGGTAGATGGAAGGGGAGGATCAGGGAAGAAAGAAGAAGCAGAGGAAGAGAGATACTCTCGTAAAGAGCACTCTGTTTCTGTAACCTGGGAAGGGAGAAAAGATGGCCAAATTGGCTAACAAACAAAGCGACCAACCAGTGGATGTGTGAATAGAGATAGAGGGATAGATGATGGATGGGCTTTGTTACTGCTTTGTGTTGTGAGTGAATGTATGTGAAGTGAAGGACATGAGATGGGGTATGTATAAATAGAAGATTTGAAACGTGCCCTCTCTCCTCCTTCCCTCTTAATTAAACGCCTTTTTACATTAAAATAAAAACGAAATGAAAATAATATCTCCATGGTATTCTGAAAGGTGCAATTCCCAATAACGTAGGTGTTCCCTTTACGAGAGAGAGGGGGGGGTGTTACTGCCTGTGATATTTTCTCAGCTTCAGCGAGTAGATATTATGTATGATAGATATATTAGCATTATCATTTTCCTTAGCCATTCAGTTTCCGATTCTTTTCTTCTGGCTTATAATCACGCAAAAAATGGTAATAGTACTGGTACTGTTCTGGCAATTAAAGCTATTTCGGTTGGAATATTGCTTGTAGACCAACGCTCTCAGCCCAACCTGGTTATAACTTTGACTTCCACATGCGTTTCACTGTAGTAAGTGTAAGCGCCTGTTCTGGGAATTTTTGCGTTTAAACATGTGTACCTGTCAATTTAGCTTGCTCAACTAAAAAATGAACATGTAAAGTCCACACATATTCCCTCTTAAAATATTACATGACCATGCCTTTATTAGTGCTTGATCCATACCATAACAATTTCATTCTCCTTTAGGCAGGTTTTCCGCGATTTATTCTTCGTTATTTACTATTCCTTTCTGTTTCATTTATGTATATCGGCAAACTCTGTTGTTTTTTTTTTTTTTTGCAGTTTTTCTTTACCCTTTTAGGGGCCTCGGTGGTTTTTGTTTAATTATGCCGTTTCCATAACGTTAAATTAATTGTGATAAACAAGGTGGAAATTTGATTATATACACTAACTAGGGGTCAACTTTTTTTAAAGGGTCGGCATCTTATGAATTATTTCGTTTTCTAATTAAACATATATATAGTATAAAATCTCTAACAAATTGAACATTATTTATAATTTATAAATAGCGTGACTTATTTTTAAAATATTTTGTGTACAAAACTTGTGGACTTTCATTTTGTGCGTGGGGCTGAAGATGGGCATAGATATAGCTAATTACCATAAAAAATAAAATATTTAAGATAGTTTGTTTTATTTTAATTACATTAATCGAATCATATTGTTCTGGTTTATAAACACTGATTTTAACGTTAATGATAATAATCATAACGAGGAGCCCGAGCCGATCCAAGCGGTGGTACAAGTAAGATTAGATATGTGCGTTAGTTTGTATCCTTAATGTAATGAATTTATTAAAATTTTTTTTATAAAATAGTTTATTACAACTTGTTGCTATAGAAAGGGATTTTTTTTTTCCCCTTTGGGTGTCTAGTGATATTAAACGAACTTCAAATAATCTTATGTTACCCTTTGATGATGATGTATTCAAAGTTTATAATTAGGCCTCTAGGCCAGAGCTATTCGTCATGAAAAATGGAATGGAATAAAAAATAAATAAAATAAGTGTTCTTTTCAATTAAAGTCATCCATTTACCTTAATTTTATATAGTAGTATTAAGTATATTAACAAATATTAAATGATAATTATATTTTATGATTATAATAACTGCTATTTATATATGTTATAAGTTGGGATGCATCAAAATGGTAAGTTCTCAGTGTTGTCAAATGAACTTATGGGGAAAATAAATTTTGGGTCCTTATGGTTTACTACAGTTATCAATTGGTCCTTACAGTTTTAATTTTTTTTACATTCAATCCTTAAAGTTACAAACATTAAAAACGTTACTCCCCAGACTCTCAGTAGGCTCCGGCGATGCGAACAGTGTTGCGTGACCCATTCCTTGAAACTTTTTTACTTCACTATCCAGGTCTCTTCTTTATTGTGTGGCTCGTTCCTTAAACTTTTTGGTTCTTACAAGGAACAGGGACACATCTCTAGTTTTTTAAAAGGGGCGGAATGAAATTAAAGCACCGTACGAGTAAATTAAACTTAAATAAAAAATCAAAAAATTTGAAAAATCATCCTAAACAAGCTAGGACCAAGAGCCATTAGGTGGGTATTTAGATTGATGAATCTGATTTTAGATTTAGATTTAAATTCAAATTCAAATTTATATATTTAAATTTTTTTTTATTTGGATAGTGTGTAAAAAAATTCAAATACAAAAGACTCTAGATAAGATTTGAGATTCAAAATAAAAATGAAAAACTATAAGTGATAAATTTATCTTTATTTTTTAATTGATAAGAGATGAGAATAGTAAATAAAAGAATAGGTGAAAAGGCACTGACAAAGAAAATGTGAATAGAATAACATAGTTAAAATGAGTAAATTTTTGAATGAGACTAAGGTATAGAGAAAATTATTAAAAAAAGCACAATAAGAAATTGATTTCAATTTATAAATTTAAAAATTTTCATGCATTCAAATGGAAGAGTAATCCAAATCCAAATTAAAATGCTTGTTGATCCAAATGCAACATGAGTAAGTTGATCAAAATGTTTGCTGTCACTATTACAGGATAGGCTTTTAATAGCAGGTGAAAAACACTTTAATAGTAGTTACAGAATTGTTATTTCAGGAGATGTTAAAAGTCTAGGGCTTTCAACAGCGGTTGAACAACCGCTATTAAAAAATAAACTTTCAACAATTATTTTAAATCTGCTGTTGAAAGTTGCCCATTGATTGAATTTTTGGAAAAAAGGAGGACTTTTAACAGCGGGTATCATAACTACCGCTATTAAAAGTCTACTTTTAACAGCGGGTATGGCCATACCCGCTCTTAAAAGTGGTTTTTTTGTAAAAAAAATTAATTATGTTTCTACTTATTTTTTCAATTCCTACAAATGAAAATGTTTATATAATATATCACTAGCTAGCCAGTTCAATACATATAAATAACCAGATTTTAATACAAAATTTTATAGAAATTACATAAAACTCAAGTGGTTATATGATTTTTAAAAAAACTATCTGAATCTCACATACCATCTACAAAATATTATGCCAATATGTGAAGATGTCGTCAACCTCTTCCTCAAAGAATAGATTCACAATGTCAAACATCTAAATTAAAGTATGAAATTGCAATTAAAACTTTAACTAACTAATTCAAATAACAATAAAATTAGCTTTTCAAAAAAATAATTACCTCATTTGTAAATTCAATTATTCCTAATGTGATGATGTTGAGCATATACCTCATCACATATATGCTGCACAAACTAGTCTTATGTAGTTGCCTATGACTTTGTGTAAAAACATATATATATATATATATATATAAGCAATTAGCAATAAATCTTGATAATTGAATAAGTTAATAAAGTGTTAGTTTCAATTACCTTTAGCTTAATCCACGTAGGATCAAATTACCTTTAGCTCGATCCGCATAGGATCCTTGAGTTCATGTGCGTGCTTTTTTAAAACAATTATTTAATATGTTTTCATTACCTTATGAACAACATCACAAGATTTGTAACTAATATATTCATAAAAATTGATAATTTTTATACAAGTGCATTTATGAGTCTATTGTCTTCTTTATGTCCTTGTTAGTTTGCAATGGAGGAAGCATACGAAGAAGACTGTATTACTCTTTAATAAAAGAACAATCAGCTCCTAATAGTCCCTATAAAATAGGGTGAGTTATTAGAAGAAATTTATATTAAAAAAACACTATCAATCGTAAATTGATACTTTTGAATGCGCACATGGTGCCATGAAAATATCCTTTTTGACTTTACATATTCATTGCTGAAGGTACTATGTAACACCCTCAAATTTACAAACCGATTTTTTTCGCAAATTATTAATTCAACAAATCTTTTTTTTTCATTGAACCCTTATCATACCCTTATCATGGTAGAAAAATTTCTACCATGATACATCCAAGACAATATACAACAAATCTTAAAATATCTCAAAAAAGCAATTAGAACCATGAGGGATAGACAGGATCCTCATGGCATGATATTTAAATCAGGTCATGAATCAAGAGGGACAAATATAATCCTCTTGGTCATGTAATTGTATTTAATAAAAAGAATTAGAGTTTACATGTTGTCAAAATAAGAAATGTCCTAAGTTGGCACAAGATACATTGCATAATACAAAATGAGAGGCAACGTAAAAGATGGTGTCTCATACACTAAAGTTATGCCTTTGGTGCTTTCTCGGCCGAACTCTCTCCTGTAAAAATATTAACCACGGGGAATGAGACTTAAAAGTCTCAGTAATCAAAAATTAATATGTAATGATGCATGCGGATGTAACTAATCATGCGATTGCTAAGTGGGCACACAAAAACATTTAATCAAATTATATTTTCAAACAAACCGAACAAATATTTAATTGCATGACTACACCTTATATCCTCCTTTCGCCATGCTCAGACGCCAAATTCACCTGGCCAAAGGTGAGTTGGACCAAGCGACACGCCACTCATTGAGTCCAATGAGGGTTTACCACGTGATAATAATTAACCGAACAAAAATTCCCATTAACACCATACATTAAAATACCCTGAAAAGTCATGCATCATTTAAATATTCAAACAGGAATATATCCGAACAATAATATCTCATCATGATAAATAAAAATAAATTTGTGACCCACTTGGCAATAATTTCAAACAAGTATATAACAGTATTTATTTTCAATAATTCATAGTTTTTCCAAACAATAAGTCAACACATAACCATTCACAAACACACTCATCACGACACATTAATAATGGTTACCTTGTGTTTTGAATAACAAGTTCTCCTTCACAACTCCTCTTTCACCACTATCTTTATCAATATAATCTACATAATTATTTCACAACACTATATATTAATTTTTCATTGAAATTAATAAATAACTCTAAATTAAAGAGTTAGAAAGTCTTAGATCTAAAATCCATATTAACACTAATTTAAGATTTATGCCTCATTTAACTTTTCAAATTCTTTTCTAAAATTCTCGTACCCTAATAAATTATTCTTAAGCCTCAAATCATTTATAATATCACAATTTCATCCATCCATATTCTAAAAATTCGTTCAAAAATAAATTAAAAATTTT